TTTAGACTGGTTTTGTGGTCCAGGGTCACAAATCTTAGAAATGTATTGCTGAAAACATGTTACAAAGACTGTGAACTATGTAGTACTGAATTGTGGAGTGTGAGTATAGAGAGGTCTAGGAGTCTTATCATTATCATTAGAGCCATAGTGACAAAATTCTTGGCAACTGCTGTCCATTTTCTAATTTGAATAACAGGGTTATTATTGTTAACTAAAACTAAAACTATTAAACCATTTTTGTTAATTGAAATTAAGCCGAGATCAAATAAAATATACTTATTAGATAAAAAAAGTAACGAAAAATAGAAATGTTGCCTTGGTCACCAAATAAATACAAAAATTATTAACTGGAAATAAATAAAAACTAAAACTGAACTAAAAATAAATTAAACCTAAATAGTAATAATAAAAAAAGAACAAAATCTAATAAAATGACAACAACTCATTACAAAAATATAACTGAAAAATACAAAATTCTATTCCAAAATATCAAAACTATAAATAATACTAAAATAACACTTGAATCGTGCAGTTTCACTTGCTTTGACTCCATTTTGCAAGTATTTCCAACATTGCTGAATATTGTTTATACATAAACAATATGAGTTTCACTCTTCGTGCCGCTCTACAGCAATCACCACAGCTTACACCTTACATGACATATGAGCCTGCAAAGAGGATAAATATCCGATTTAAGAACATACTTCACCATATGATAATATTATATCTAATAGCCAGTCAATGTTCTTTCAAAGACAATAAACAGGTCCTGCACTATTTAGTTCTGTACTGTTTTTCTGTGGCCGTGAATGAAACCTTAAATCTTTTACTTTTCTGAACTATCAGACTTAAGATTTCTACCCTGGAAGATGATATAATAGGTGATAACTTCCCATCTTTTTCATATATTGTTTCATTTTGATTCATAACCTATTGAATGCACTTTTAGTTGGTCAATGACCTGGTGACACCTGGTTGTCAGATTCAGAGATCAGACAGACCTCATGGAATGTGAAACTGCTTATGAGGTGTTTTACCAGTTTGAAGCTGCAATATGCCGAAGAAAGCATGCACTCTGGATGCAGATACCAAGACAGGAGGAAGCTGTCCTCCAAGGATACACACCACCATGTCATTTTATTCCATGTTGGCTTGAAACTTCACAGGAGTTCAGGAACTCCCTTTCCAAAGGTCTTTCCACTTCTCTTCCGTTCATCAGTCGTATGCAGCTAGCAGCATGAGGCAGCGAACAGAGGTGATGCATGTGGAGATCGGTTGCTTTTTGTTGTGTTTAAGTGGCTGGATTTTGACCTACTCCACTCTGGCCACTGAGTACTGGACCTTCTCAGAGATCGGCTCTGTGGTTCTGACCACCGGTGATTAATATTCCAACCTCTGGATGGACTGTGTCTCAGACACCACAGGAGTATCTGACTGTAAATACTTCCCCTCCATGATGGACCTGTCTGGTGAGGAATGACTGTTGAAACTGAGACAATGTGTCATGATTTGGTGAAAAAAAGAAAGAAAGGCTCATGGTTCTTAGGAGAAAAAGAATACATTATTCGATAAATATGTTCAGTGAGGCCAAATCAATTTTTAGTAAAACTTTATTTTAGTTTTTTTATGCTTGTTTTTGTTTTGAATATCATATTTCCAAATCTAAAATGAGGCTTTTATTTAAAAATTAAAACTTCACTATAGATATACACACTACTGTTCAAAAGTATGGGGACAGTAAGATTTTTTTTTTGGTGACAGTAAAGAAATTCCTATTGTTACAAAAGATTTCTATTTCAAATAAATGCTGTTCTATTGATCTTTCGATTCAAAGAATTCTGAAAAAAGTATCACGGTTTCCACAAAAATATCAAGCAGCACAGCCGTTTCAAATCCTGAAAGTTCATCTTTGCCATCAAAGGAATAAATTGCATATTAAAATAGAATTTCAGTAACATTTTAAAATATATAAAAATAGAAATGTTATATTATTTTGGAATAATATTTCACAACAATAATGTTTTACTGTATTTCTGATCAAACATATGCAACCTAGGTGATGCACATACTATTTATTTTATTATTTATATACACTGAAGTATACTGAATTTTTGTAAGATTTTGAAATATTTTAGAAAAAGTCAGAATTGCAAGAAAATAGTCCTCTGAATTGTGAGATAAAATCACAATTCACTTTTAAATGTTTTTTTTAATCCAGTGGCGGAAACAAAGAAAAGTCACTTTTTTAATTTGATTTCTTTGGCGGAAATGGGCTTCTATATGAGATGTTTTTCATGTGTCTCTCTGGTTGTTAGTTTTCCTCCATGTATGCAGGGCCCTGGCTGTCGTCTCTGTGATCTTTGGCTTCTGGGGGGCTGTTCTTACCCTCATTGGGATGAAATGTACCAAAATCGGAGGCTCTGAGCTTGCCAACGCCAGAGTTACATTCGCAGCAGGACTGACGTACATGGCATCCAGTACAATCCTTTCTTCATGAGCATTTTCGTATAAAGCATAAATTGAGTATCATAAACGGATGTGTTGCTGTATCTGTTTTGCAGGTTTCTGTGGTATGATAGTGTACTCCTGGTGGGGAAATAAAATGCGTTCAGACTTTGTGGATCCATATTACTTGGAACAGAAGTATGTAATGTATTTTAAAATAGTCACACATTTATAATTAATTCAGTAATAATAATATATAAAAGTGCTTAAAGGTGAGGTATGCCGTTTCTGCGCTACTAGTGTCACCTAGAGGAATTACAAAAAAAAATTAAAATATTCAAACGCCCCTTACGCCCTTACGATTATTATTCCCCATACAATATCTACCTTTTTATCTGGGGCTTGACAGTAAACAGCTAACAACTTGTAGCAAGTTTAGCTTACCCGTTATGAAGAAACTCCACGAGTTTGTTGTCTCAACTGAAACTCAAACATTTCTTAAAATTCCTCCATCTTGTAAAAGCACTGCCAGTGTTTACCCTTGTTTTCCCTAGTTGTCTGTCTCATTTTGGTAAGTCCAGTTTTGGTTTTCACTTCTGTAGCCGAGTTTCTTTTCCCATAACGTTTTCCCTATGATCTCTCCCGTTGCGTTGAACGGCAAGAACACTTATGTTTACTCTGAAGCCTGATTTGTTCACGTTCGTGTAGCTGCACAAACAAATATGGCGCTTCAGCCCGCCAAAATGACTGATGTTTTTTCTTCAGCATGAAGATCATGGCAGGCGGGAAGATGCTACTCTTCAGCGCCTTCTCTACTGCGGCTATGCGGCGATCACAAATCATTTTAGCCAAAAGCCTTGTGTCTCCCAGCCAGCAGGTATTCTGCCTTTTATTGTTTCGTCCCAGATGTGGGCCTGAGTCGCGCCGGAACACTCACAATTGGTCATTCCAATTCTGGCTAAAAGCCTGTGAACCATCCTACACTTGGTGCCTGATAATGGTGGTTTTTCTAGCCCTAAAAATCTTCCTGCCAGCCTTAAGATGGCACCAAGTCCTGGTCCACTCGGATAACATGACGGTGGCAAACTTTATAAATCACCAAGGCAGTGTCAGGTCATGCTCCCTTTACAGGATGGTGAGACGCCTAATCCTATGGCACAGTACAACCTGCTCTCACTGAGGGCAGTTCACGTGAGGGGCCCACTCCACCAGAGGAATGGCCTCCTCCTGGGCTGGGACCAATGGACTTTCAATTGGTAATATCTGTGCGGCAGCTAGCTGGTCTTCCCCGTATACCTTTGCCAGATTTTATAACTTGGACGTCCATGCTCTTCAGACACGGATTTTGTCTGCTTAATTTACCTAATCCCCTATATTAGTGGAGAAGGTCTTGTATGTAGACCCCAGCCTGGTGGGTCTCATGATTGGCACATGCGTTTTAGGAGCCCTCATTACTGGGCGCTCCGGGGGCTGGGATTGAAGATCAGCTACAGTAGCCACACCCTGAACCCTCGCTTTTGGTTGAGCTGGAAGAGATTGACGTATCAGAGCAGACCGCTCTAAATGTTTTGATATTGCCTGGGAGACTTTACATTTTTAGGGGGAGATAAGGCCCCTGAATGACAAGTAGTCAAAGAATAATTAACTGGGTTAAGACAATGCATTTTGATATAAAAATCTTAGAAACCTTACCCTTAAGGTTTTAATTTTCCTCAGGTTGAGCTCGGTGCAGCTCTCTTCATCGGCTGGGGAGGTTCGTGTCTGGTTATATGTGGAAGTGCAGTCATGTGCTATTACTCTGCAAGAATGTCATTCCCATGAAGGCTTGGCCCATCGCACTGTATTACTATCAATATTGAACAGCTGCTTGCTATTTTTGTGAAAACTGTGACACATTTTTTAAGTATCCTTTGATGAATATAAAGTTGAAAAAAACCAACAGCATTTGTTTGAAATGAAAATCTTTCATAAAATCATAAATGTCATAAACATTTATCAATGTAGTGCATCCTTGCTGAATGAAAGTATGAATTTCTTTAAAAAAAACTTTTGAATGGTAGTGTACTGTGTGTTTTCAATATTTTTTGCATTTCTTTACCAAGAAACCCAGAAGACCCCCAACTTACATGACAGCACGAACCAGACAGACGTACATGCTGCTCGGGCTCGTCCAGACCCACAACATTCATCATCCCTCCTTCACACCAATCATACAGAGTGAACAGAGAAAATAGAGAGAGTAGAGGGAGGAGAGGAACACAAGAAAGCCAGTTTCCAAGAACTGTCAGGCCCCTCATAGACTCAACCGTGTAACCCAACGTTTAAAGACATAATTTAGAAACAATTTCAATGCTTGTTGTCTCTATCTATTGCGATATAGCAGGATGCTTGTCACAGAACTTACATATTGTTGCTGTTTTCTTGGTTTGATTGCTTCTATTGTCCTCAATTTGGATAAAAGTGTCTGTTAATGATTAAATGTAAATGCTTGTATGTCCAAAACAAAGAATCTTTGAAGTGTTTGAAAAAGTGAATTTAATAAATCAGTATTTTACACATTACATAAACTATCAAAAAATATGAGGCAATCATTTTAAAGTGCAACATCCCTTGGCTGTTCCTTAGTACTAGGTGTACTTGTACCTTTATATTTCATATAAAGTACCTTTAACACTGTTAATATTAAACTGTTTTTGCACCGCTGTCCCTGAATAATCATTAAGCCTGAGCTACAACAGATACTGGATATAAGGTATATTAACTTGATTGACTTTGGTATTGCTCTGCTGCATTTTATTATATCTCATCTGAATCATCCCAGTCGCTGACGCTCACTAAACTGCTCTTGAGAGTGCTGCCGGTTCCTGCGTCTGTGAGGCCTGAAAAACACAAAGAAAGAAATCAGAATCACAGTAATCAACAGGTGTTGAGCTAAAGAGTTACTGCTTATAAGTTAGAGGGTCACAAAACAATTTCAAATGTCTTTGCACTAAAATATAAAAAGTAATAGTAATGTATTAATTAAATTATTTAAACTATAAAAGAAAATATCTAAATCTGTATGACAATGGTTTGGACAATATGTACTTTTCAGATTAAATGAAAAAAGCACAGCAGCTTTTTTGCAAGCAATCGGAGTTTCTAAGATGTAAAACATTTATGGCCATGATTTCTCATTAGCAAAATATTATTATTTAACTATGAATTCTATGTACCTGGCTTCTGTCCTTTGCCCGTCGATGAGCCCCACACACTCGTGCTGGTGTCCAGACTCTTGTCCAAGCTCTTCTTGACAGGTACGGGACATTGGCTGGGTTTGGTTACAGCGGGCACATCCTCCAGAGAGGAGATATCCCAGTCATCATCGTCATCATCTTCATCTGTGTACTGAAAGCAACAGGGCAGAACAGCGACCCATTACAAATCTACTATAGAGATAAAACGAACTAATTTCGGAAGTAAGATATGCAAAAATAAAAATCTTTATGGAATTATAATCTGCTCATCCAATCAGTTGACAGTTTTTATTTCATTTTTATTTCAGTTTTAGTTCTTTTGTACATCATGTTAAACTACATAGAAATGAGAAATGTTGCCTTTTCAACTAGCTGAAATTTAATAACTTTAAGGTTTTATATTTTATTTTGTTTCAGTTAACATCTGTTTTACTTAAAGTAACAAAAATGTTTTTTTTTTAATGATTTATAGTTTTAAAATAATTATATACAGTATAATAACCCACTACTCCAGTCTTCAGTGTCACATGATCCTTCAGAAATCATCCTAATATACTTGCTGCTCAAGAAACATTTCTTATTATTATTACATTTGAAAACTAATTAAAAAAAATGTTTTTAATAATATTATAAATGTCTTTACTGCTAGACAATCAATTTAATGCATCCTTGCTGAATACAAATATTAATTTCTTTAAAAAAAATTACAAACCCCAAACTTTTGAGCAGTAGTCTAAATCTACAATATTTACTAGTTATGCTGATGAGCTACATCACCTGAGTGAATAAGTGTTTACTGTAATTTTTATTAATAATAAATGTTATTATTTATCACTCCTTAGCATGCAGCTTCTCAATAAGAATTTAATTAAATGCCAAAGTACTTTAATACATGTTGCAATTTTCCACCTGTTCTCTGTTGTGGTAGATTTCAATGTCGCATTTATTTACCTTTGCATATTGTTAATCTCTTTAAAGGAGCAGGTCTCACCTTTAGCTCTTTCTTTGCATCTTGCTTTATAGTTTTGACAGCTGTTGGCTTTTCAAGCAATGTCTTAACGCCCCCTGCTGGTTTCTTTGGGCCTCGTGCTTCCAGCTGTTTTTCAAGGCTTTTGCCAAGAGCTTTGACTTTACCTACAGAAAAACACACACACACAATACAAATATACAACAAATGTGTAAAAGTTTGATTTCCAAATGCAATACAACTACTCCACACCCTCCTGACATTAGAAGCGAGTCTTACTGCGAGTAATCTTCTCCACGTTTCCATTCTGGTCAGTGTGTTTGTGCAGCTTTGAGAGGTCGAGCTCCTGCATCTCGCTGCCGTCGGTCCACTCGCTGTCGCTCTCGCTCAGAGCCGTCACGTCCGTTCTGTCCGCACTGATCACAGGAGCAGCGGAGCGCACAGCAAGAGCAGGAGGGGTCGAGCGCTGCTGTGTTTTAGCAGTCTGGGCTTTGACTGTGGTGCTGTTGACCAGGGCAGATTTCTTCTGTGTTTGAGGGGTCTCTTCTTCAGACGATTCCTCTTCCTCAGACGATTCTTCATCAGAGCTGAATGGAGGAGTTCTGCAGGTGAGATGCAATATGCACATGTTCATACAACCCAGAAAAAGGTACTGAACCAAACATCAAAAACTGATAAAGTGATAACATAACAAGATCAGTGATCATTTAAGCCAAAGTGATGAACAACAAACAAAATAAAGTTAACAGGAAACCGCTTTTGCGGAGCACACTTCATGTCTGTAATGCGACGTATTTCTGATTGAAATTGATTGTCAGTGTTTTAAAATTAAAATACAAATTTAAAGTAAAAATAATGAACAATTATGCTGATTAAAATAAAATAAACATTTACTGAAATAAAAAAAAAGATAATTTCATGTTTCATTTCATTTCAAATGTGTAATTTCATGTAGTTTCTAGCATTAGGCAACATTTTTATTTAGTTTAAGTTGAAGTACTAAAATTATTAAAACTATAAAAATGTAAACAAAAATATAAAATCAGTAAAAACTAAATTTTTATTAATAATAAATGTTATTATTTATCACTCCTTAGCATGCAGCTTCTCAATAAGAATTTAATTAAATGCCAAAGTACTTTAATACATGTTGCAATTTTCCACCTGTTCTCTGTTGTGGTAGATTTCAATGTCGCATTTATTTACCTTTGCATATCTCTTTAAAGGAGCAGGTCTCACCTTTAGCTCTTTCTTTGCATCTTGCTTTATAGTTTTGACAGCTGTTGGCTTTTCAAGCAATGTCTTAACGCCCCCTGCTGGTTTCTTTGGGCCTCGTGCTTCCAGCTGTTTTTCAAGGCTTTTGCCAAGAGCTTTGACTTTACCTACAGAAAAACACACACACACAATACAAATATACAACAAATGTGTAAAAGTTTGATTTCCAAATGCAATACAACTACTCCACACCCTCCTGACATTAGAAGCGAGTCTTACTGCGAGTAATCTTCTCCACGTTTCCATTCTGGTCAGTGTGTTTGTGCAGCTTTGAGAGGTCGAGCTCCTGCATCTCGCTGCCGTCGGTCCACTCGCTGTCGCTCTCGCTCAGAGCCGTCACGTCCGTTCTGTCCGCACTGATCACAGGAGCAGCGGAGCGCACAGCAAGAGCAGGAGGGGTCGAGCGCTGCTGTGTTTTAGCAGTCTGGGCTTTGACTGTGGTGCTGTTGACCAGGGCAGATTTCTTCTGTGTTTGAGGGGTCTCTTCTTCAGACGATTCCTCTTCCTCAGACGATTCTTCATCAGAGCTGAATGGAGGAGTTCTGCAGGTGAGATGCAATATGCACATGTTCATACAACCCAGAAAAAGGTACTGAACCAAACATCAAAAACTGATAAAGTGATAACATAATAAGATCAGTGATCATTTAAGCCAAAGTGATGAACAACAAACAAAATAAAGTTAACAGGAAACCGCTTTTGCGGAGCACACTTCATGTCTGTAATGCGACGTATTTCTGATTGAAATTGATTGTCAGTGTTTTAAAATTAAAATACAAATTTAAAGTAAAAATAATGAACAATTATGCTGATTAAAATAAAATAAACATTTACTGAAATAAAAAAAAAGATAATTTCATGTTTCATTTCATTTCAAATGTGTAATTTCATGTAGTTTCTAGCATTAGGCAACATTTTTATTTAGTTTAAGTTGAAGTACTAAAATTATTAAAACTATAAAAATGTAAACAAAAATATAAAATCAGTAAAAACTAAACAGGCACATTTAAAAGAACAAAAACGAATTAAAAATTGAGAAAAAAAAGTGTACAAAAAAATAATAAAAAACAAAATTGCTCAAACTTTAACTAAAATGAAAATGAAAACAGAAAATATAAAAATAAATCAAATTAAAAAATCTTATAAATAGTATAACAGTATATTAATGACACTAAACTAATACTGTTGATTGGACATGATTGAAAAAAAAAAAAAGAAAAAAAAAAAAGAAATTTTATATATATATATATATATGCGCCCTACCAGCCTTGGTTATGTCAACAAAAAACTATTAAAATATAATAAAAACAATAATAAAAAAAAGTATATATTATAAGAATATAAATAGAGTCTATATAAATGTTTTTTTTAATTGTAATTTTGTTAAAATTTTTAAGTAATTTATGTGAAGATAAAACCACAGTAAATGTTGCTGCACCTGTGATGCTGTAGCGGTGTGGAGGTCTTGGGGAGGGTGCTGGTTCTGCTGCGTGGAGCTGGTTGTGGGGTGTGCTGCTGTTTAGGAGCAGGGCCCGACACCACTCGAGTTACTGTAGATGGAAAACTGCTGGATCTGGGTCTGGACTGAATCACTGCAATAAGACAAAAATGAGCTCTACTGTCTGCATGAGCCTTCTAAGGCAGCATCCTGACTGAAATGAAACTCATTCATGCCACAGAAACATGCGATCCATGCGAGGTACAAAATATCAACAAAAATACAAAGCACTTACAAAAACTGGGTGAAACATTGCAGTTTTTAAATAATAAATGTTTAGATATTTGCTTTTATGAATTTTTATTTCAGTTTTAGCTTCAATTCAAATTCAAGTTAAACGAAGCAACAATTAGAAATGTTGTCTTGGCAACTAGCTGAATTAAAATAATTTGAAGTATTTTGTTTTATTCAATAATCGTTTAAGTAACAAAAAATGTTTTTAATGGTTTTAGTTAATGATAATAAACCTGCTGGGAATAGACATAAAACAAACATATTTTCTCAGCCTCGAAACTGCGAAGCCAAATCCTGACCTTGTTCATGTTGTTTGGGTTTGGCTGGCTGCTCCATGTTCCTCTCCTTTACTCTCTGCTCCAGTTTATGGCTGATCTCTTTCAGAGCCCTCCGATATGCTGGATCCTCTTCCTGTCTCTTCTGACGATCAGTGATAACCTGGGTCATGGTGTTCTTATATAGTCCTTTAGAGAGACCACTGACTCCCTGAACAACACGACAGACGCTGAGGTTACCATGGCTTCCTAACTGCAGTCCAACTGTATAATATATATGCTATAACTATATGCTATTTATTTATATATATATATATATGCACACGACCTTGATGCCTAGGCTCTGCAGCCTATCTTCAAGGTTCTGCTGAGCTGCCAGACGCATGTCTCTCCTCAAACCCGGGTTCTTCAACAGCTCTTGCACTTCCTGCTGCCACGACCGGCTCTCTGTGTGACTTTCAGAGATGCTAGAGGAATCTGAAAATATAAGACAAATAATCATGGTACCTGCCAATTGCCAAGCCGGATGAAACATGCTCTGGAACATATTTTCTGTCATTCTACAATTGCAATGGCAGATGCTGCCACTCATAAACAAATAAAAAAAAACGTTCTAATTTGAAATAGCATTAATGATCATAGAGGAATTATATATATATATATATATATATTAAACTCTTATAGCATAAAAAGATGCCTCTATATAACGCAGCTGCATAGAGAAAAAATGAAATATATTATATATAAACACATTACTGCGTGAAAGTTTGTAGTTGATAAGATTTTTTTTTTTATGAAATAAATGCTTACCAAGGCTGCAATTATTTGAAAATCAAAAATATAATAAAAACTGAAATTTAAAATAACTGTTTTCTATATGAATATATTTTAAAATGTAATTTATTCCTGTGATCAAAGCTGAATTTGTAGCATCATTACTCCAGTCTTCAGTGTCACATGATCCTTCAGAAATCATTCTAATATGCTGATTTGCTGCTCAACAAACATTTCTGATTATTATCAATGTTAAAAACGTTAATAACAAATGTTATATGTTTGTGGGAACTGTAATATGTTTTTTCATGGCTCTTTGTTGAACAGAAACGTTAAAAGAACAGCATTTATTTGAAACAGAAATCTTTATAAATGTCTTTACTTTCACTATTGATAAATTTAACGTGACCTTGCTGAATAATTATAATATTAATTTCTTTAAAAAAAATTAAAAAAAACCCTACTAACCCCAAACCTTTAAACGGCGGTGTATATAAATATATAATTAAATTATTTAAATAATAAACAATTGTCACCTGACCACTTCAGATCTTAATATCAGGTGTAAACAAGGCGTGGAAGTTTTTTTTATATAACTATCATTTAAAAAAATATAAAAAAAGAAGAAAAAATTATTTAGTCTGACCTCGCAAAAATGGGAAAAAATATAAATAGAATATAAAATATAAATATAATGAACAACATAACTGAAAAAATAAATATAGAAATAAAAATAACTGGAAATGCCACTGCAATTGTACAATGACTTTTATATTTTTTAAACCCATAAACAGAGAATGCCAAATATATGCTCATTTACTGTATCTTCACAACAAAATTTCCTTTCTTTTGCTCTGAGCTGTCCAATGATTACATGCATGCTGTAACGTCTGTGTTTACTGAGGAGACAGATCTTCCAGCTCAGGCCTATACTTTGGCATGCTGAGTCAGCACTTCACTTTAGCACATGCTCAGACTGAATCTGAGCCACAGATCCATGCAGACGGGATGCGAGCATGCCACAGACGACTACACTCAATCACTCTACTGCTTTACCTTTCTCCTCCTCAGACAGCTCCACTATAGGATCCAGTTTGTGGACTGAGCTGGACTGCTCTAATAGGACAGTGCAAAGAGGTCAGAGAAGAGTGTAAGGGTTACAGATGGACATATTCAAATCTAACCCTTAGCCCAGGGGTAGGCAAGTTCGGTCCTAGAGAGCCGCAGTCCTGCAGAGTTCAGCTCCAACCCTAATCAGACACACCTGAACAAGCTAATCAATGTCTTTAGGATTACTAAGGCTATAGGCAGGTGAGTTTTGTTTTCAGGGTTGGAGCTGAACTCTGCAGGACTGCGGCTCTCTAGGACCGAACTTGCCTACCCCCTTGCCTACCCCTGCCCCTAGATTTGAAGCCATCTATATGCTAATGTTCATATGTTATGTTAATGTTCATACACTACAGTTCAAAAGTTTGGGGTCAGAAAGTTAAAAAACAAAATAATATTTTTGTTCAGCAAGGAAGCATTACATTGATAAAATGTGACAGTAAAGACATTTATAATGTTACAAAAGAATGTTCCAAATAAATGCTGTTCTTTTGAACTTTCTATTCATCAAAGAATCCTGAAAAGTAT